CTGGTGCACTGGGAAGACCCAGAGGGATCGGGTGGAGAGGGAGGTGGGAGGGGGGATCGGGATGGGGAATACATGTAACTCCATGGCTGATTCATGTCAATATATGACAAAACCCACTGAAATGTTGTGAAGTAATTAGCCTCCAACTAATAAAAATAAATGAAAAAAAATGGTAAAAATTATAATATATACTAAATAAACCACTACATAGAATTTAAAAAAATGAAAAGATTGATTTGAAGTCAGAGAAAACTGGCTATTTAAATGCAAAGTAAGAGTAAGGGAATGCCCTCACTTTCTAATATGTATCAAAATAACAGCCAGGTATATTTAAACTTTAAATGTTAAAAAGCAATCAAATAGTGTTAAAACAAATACAGCTAAAAAGACATTTGATTTCTTAATGGTAAAAACTTTCCTAGCATAAAGCTGTGTAAAGAGTCAGGAATGTTAAGATTGAGAGCACTTTCATAAGAATTGAAAATGTCTATATTACAAGACACATTATAAATAAGATTAAAGAAAATAACTATAAAGAAAGGTTCTGCACAGCTAAGCTTAACGTTTAAAAAGTTAAAATCCATTAATAAATCAAGTTGATGCATCAATATAAATGAGCAGCAAACAGCAGAAAGGAAATATAACTACCTTCTAAACTATGTGGGGAAAAGGAAGTTTCATTTCACCCTTAATCAGAGAAATAGAAATTATGGCAAATAAACTATATTCTCCTCATAAAATTAACAAAATTTAATTTTTAATAGTCAATATTAACAAAGATTCAGAGAGTTACTTGAACTCACTAGGAGTGTAATTTGGTATATCCTTTCTAAATAGCAATTTTGTATGAAGAGTCTTTAAAATGTTCCCACTTCTTACTTAGTGATTCCACTTTACAAAATATACACTCATGAAATAAGTGGGGAGCCATGTACAAAGATGAAGGTATGAAGACTTCAGTAGTAAATGTTGAAATTATTGCAAAAGTTGGAAATAACCCAAATATCCAACAACAAAGGAGGGGTTAGATAAATATTGCTCAGTCCATTTAAGTAAAAAATATACAACCATTAAGATGTTCTTGAAGAATTGTAACAGCAATGGGAAAACACCCACAATATAACTTACAGTTATAGAACTATATGATCAACACATTCTGCAGCATGATGTAAACTATATTTGAAATATTTGCAGAGAAAATAAGAAACCAAAAATATTAACAATAGTTAGAGATTGATTGCAGTTTTAATTTTGCTCTTTGCTCATCACTGAATTTTCCAAACTTGACAATAAATATGTAGCACTTTATGACTGGAAATAAACTATTTTAAGAAATACATTCCTAATGGTGGATTAGAAGAAGGAAAACCTACTGACCTAGTTCTTAGCTGTGTTGATAATTTTGAAGCTTGAGTGACAATAAAAACAGCTTATAATGAGCTTCAAAAAAGAAAGATGCTCCTAGATTTTTCTTTGATCATATTAGCAGCTTGAAAATATTCCCCAAATTAAGGAATCGCCCATGGCAGTTCACCACACCAATGCAAGTCCAGATTAACTGTGCTTTGATTGTTCTTTTCCTCTTTGGTCTCACCTGATGATGTGGGTTGCTGCCATTGGTTTGCTGAGCCTGAGATAGTCTTTGAAGCTTTTGTTTGAAGGTCTCTGAGGCTGCTATTTCTACTGGTTCAGTTGTACACTCATACATTGGTACTTCAGATCTATTACACTGAATGGAGAGCCTGTTATAAAAGTAGAGTTTTATGAGAGGTTGTAATAAGTTTTAATGATCAGGTGTGACATTGAGGAGAATCTTGTTAGAAAATGTTAAGTCAGTTATTCAATCTAATATAAAAAAATAACAACAGAGTAGTTCAGGTTTTCTCTGCTCTCTCTCTCTTTCACCTACTTAGTTGATATGGAGCTAATTAACCAACAAGTGGAACAAAACTTCCATTCCCTTTCCTCTTGACAATCTAGAAATGAGAATGTAAAGAAGTTCAGGGATGAGTACAGAAAATCTCCCAGGTCATCCTGTCCAGGTCAGATACTAGGGGTAAGTGCAGATGTGTGTTTATTACCAACATAGCTAAAAGAGCATACAGTAGAGTAGTTTAAGGTCAGGCATATTTCATTTTATACAACTGCATTTAATTTCATTCCCTCATTCAAAAACTATTTAAAGTATCTTACCATCTTGAGTTACTGCAGACAAAAAAGACTTAAAAAAAAAAAAAAAAGAGAACTCCCTGCTCATAGAGAATTTATGTCTAATGAACAGACAGATACAATCATTTCTGACACAGTGCACTTATTTTTACAGAATGCAATGAGAGTATAAGAAAATAAGTGATTACTCTGCAGTACACTGAACTTGTGTGTTTGTTCACGGGGCCGGCACTTTCTGGTGAACAGAATATAACACACTGACATTTTAAGAACCTTTAGCTCTGCACGTTGCTGTTGTTCAGTTCTTCACTCATCTCTGACTCTGAAAGCCCATGGACTGCAACATGCCAGGCTTCCTGTCCTTCACCAACTCCCAGAGCTTGCTCAAACTCATGTCCACCGAGTCATTGATGCCATCCAACCATCTTGTCCTCTATCATACCCCTCTCCTCCTTCCTTCAATATTTCCCAGCATCAGGGTCTTTTCTAATGAACCAGCTCTTTGCATAAGGTGGCCAAAGTATTGCAACTTCAACTTCAGCATCAATCCTTCCAATGAATATTCAGGACTGATTTCCTTTAGGATGGACTGGTTGGATCTCCTTGCAGTCCAAGGGATGCTCAGGAGTCTTCTCCAACACCACAGCTAAAAAGTATCAATTCCTCAGCATTCAACTTTCTTTATAGTCTAATTAACTTTTAATTTACTTGGGTGAATTTATCTTTTTTTTTTCTCTTGGGTGAATTTATCTAAATGAAGTATTAAACTTATAGGAAAATGCACATATAGGGATATTGACTACAGAATTTTAGCGAGGGGGTGCAAAATTTGAAAAGAATCAAATGTTAAGGGATTGCTTCTAAATTATGGCACTTCTTTATAAGGATGAGAGTGAGGTCATTGAAATGATGGAAGCTACATGCTAAGTTGCCTCAGTTTTGTATGACTCCGCGACCCTATGGACTATAGTCTACTGGGCTCCTCTGTCCACGGGGTTCTCTAGGCAAGAATACTGGAGTGGGTTGTCATTTCCTACTTCTGGGGATCTTCCTGACCCAGGGATTGAACCCACCTCTCTTTTGTCTCCTGCATTGGCCGGCGGGTTCTTTACCACTAGCACCACTAATGACGGGACAAATGCTCTCCATTTAATGCATATGGAAAAAAGAATGAAAATCTGTATCCATAGCCTAATTCCTGATTTGGTAATACTGAAATGTGAACAGCATATGGTTGTGAGTGATGGAATGTGTCTTTCTTTTCCTTTTTTAAAATAAAATATTAATTCTGAATTAGGCTTTCCAAAGTAAACCAATAAAAAAGAAAGATGTTGGAGAAAGTTATTCAAATCCTCTAATATTAAAAATCTGTGTCTGTCTGAGGTCTTCAACTGGGATAACTAAATGATGGGATGGGCCACTTAAAGGTAGTTTTGTCTCTTGTTCTACTTTAAAGGTTTTTTTCTAGAGGGGAACAGCATCTTACCCCTTCCCCTGCTGCAGATGCCCTGGGCTGGCTGTATAACCCCAATACCAGGCTTCGGGTTGCCACCCTGCAGGAATCCACTCACCTGGCCCGTGCATGGTTAGCCATTTCCTTCGGATTCACCTTGTCCAGGAGCCATTGCCTTCTCGCAGCTTCTTTTCTCCTACAGCACCCTTGGAGCAGATTTCTGAGGGTCTTGAGGATGAGTTTTGTATTGTCCTTTGCTGATATCTGCTGGGATGGCCAACAGTACAAAGGGCATCAGATCAGCCTTAACGTGGTTTTCTTTCCTTACTTCGGTAGACTGGCTGCCATGAAAGTTTCTGAAATTATTTCACTAATTTTTATGTCCACAGAAAAATCATCTTACTTCCGTCCTACCTGAACTTCTTCACATTCTCTCTCTATTCACATACATATAATATTCATTTCCAAATTAAATACCCCCTAACTTCCACAACAACTCCTCTTCTGGAATGTGGAATTCTAAAACTAAAAGAGGATGTGAAAGAGAACTGTGTCTATGGATGCTAATTGGAGGGATTCTTNGGGGTCACAAAGAGTTGGAGACGACTGAGCAACTGAACTGAACTGAACTGAACTGAATGTCTTCCAACACTGGATAATTAATTACTCCTTGTGACACTTCATACTCCATTCTAAGAGACCCATGTTATCAATCCAACCATCCATCAATTCCTCTATCATGCATCCACTCATTTTATTATTCAGCCCATCAGTATTCAGCAAATATTTATTGTGCATTTATCATACTGAGATGCTGCTGTAAATTCTGGAAATACAACTGGAAACAATGAAAGTTCCCTCTCCTGATAGAGTTTCCATTAAAGCGAAAAAAGTGAATATATAGAACATCAGATGCTGATGAAATACTTTTGAAGAGAAATATAACAAAGGAGGAAGTTTGGGAGTGTCAGAGTGGGGACAGGGGATAAAATGGTAAATAGGCAATCAGGCAGGGCCTTAAGGACGAGCTGACATCTAACTAGACCTTTTGCGAGTATTTAAGAGGTAAGGAGTCCAGCCATGCGAAGAGGTGGTCTAAGGATACCAATTCTTTAAAGTAAAGGTTTTAATTGTGAGATTGGGGGCTACAGCTTAGTCCTATGGTGAGGAGGGAGGAGCAGAACTGAAGAACAGAGGTGTGGAGGGGAGAATGGACCTGGAGAGGCTCCCAGCATGGCTCAAACACACAGGAGTTTTCTAAGTCATCTTACAATGTTCAGTCTTTAGCTTAAAAACAATGTGAAGCTAATGGAGGGGCTTAAGGCCTGCAGTGAGTTTGGGGGAAATGATGCGTGAGGAATACCATCTTATTTTGTTTTTTTTTTTTTAAAGATCAGCCAGGCTTCTATGGCCAAAAGAAATGCAAATAAGAGCATCAATCTTGGTGTTCTAACTATGAGAATGGAGGGATCTGGAGAAGATTTCAAGTACGCAATAAATCCAGCTGACTAATTGTCAGAGTTTAGTGTTACTCTGTTAGGGAAAGGTGAAATAAATGGCTTGAGGATGACAGATGAGTTGCTACCTGATATCTTTGCTTTTATTTTTAAATTTAAATTATTTGTGCTATGTTAAAGATATACATCAAGATGATAGCCAGGACTTCCCCGATGGCGGAGTGGATAAGACTCTGCCTGCCAATGCAGGGGACATGGGTTTGATCTCTGGTCCAGGAAGATTCCATATGCTCCTGAGCAGCTAAATCCCTGTGCCACAGCGACTGGGCCGGAGCGCTACAGCCTGTGCTCCACGGCAAGAGAAGCCACCATGATGAGAGCCCCGCACACCACAACCAAGAGGAGGCCCCGCTCACCGCAACCAGAGAAAGCCCGCCAAAGCAGCCAAGACCAAGTGCAGCCAAAGAGAAGATGAACTAGAGTTAGCCAAATTCTCTAACTTTATGAGTCCGGTGATAACCACCTGCTAGGTAAGTGTGGTACAGGTATAGGCATGGTATCTAATTTCCAAGTCAATATGTATTTTTCCTTTCAGAGAGCTATAAAAATATATGAAATTACACCAAACTATAAAGTGACAAAATGACCACACAAATAGGGTCTAGGATTGAGATGGAATATGATAGATGTCTGAGAAAAGTTTAGAGAATTACAGAAGAAATTAACAAATTAATATCAATTTGATTAAAGTGATCTATTTTTACACTTCTGGTAGATAAAATAAGAGTGCATGGATTATTCTGGCTGCTTTCCTCCCCAAAGTTTCATGATCATAAGCCCATGGAAATAGTGCCTCTTTCTTTATCTTCTGGAGTTTTAAATTATAAAGAAATAGTGACTTCAAACTTTCAGGTCATGATGACTTTTAAAAGGTCATCTTTAGGCTGGTACTCAGGTGTGTGATGGATGATCTCAGTTACCAGGGTGATGGGTATCCTTTGAGTAACCCTTTGAAACACAGATTAGCATTCTGAATTTTGTGGATTAACAAAATTCACAACTTTTAATGCAACTGTTTTACTTGGGTGAATTTATCTTTTTTTTTTTACTTGGGTGAATTTATCTAAATGAAGTATTAAACATATAGGAAAATGCACATATAGGGATGTTGACTACAGAATTTTAGTGGGGGGCAAAATTTGAAAAGAATCAAAATGTTAAGGGATTGCTTCTAAATTATGGCACTTCTTTATAAGGATGAGAGTGAGGTCGTTGAAATGATGGAAGCTACATGCTAAGTTACCTCAGTTTTGTATGACTCTGCGACCCTATGGACTATAGTCTACCGGACTCCTCTGTCCAAGGGATTCTCTAGGCTAGAATATTGGAGTGGGTTGTCATTTCCTGCTTCTGGGGATCTTCCTGACCCAGGGATTGAACCCACCTCTCTTTTGTCTCCTGCATTGGCCGGCAGGTTCTTTACCACTAGCACCACTAATGACGGGACAAATGCTCTCCATTTAATGCATATGGAAAAAAGAATGAAAATCTGTATCCACAGCCTAATTCCTGATTTGGTAATACTAAAATGTGAACAGCATATGGTTGTGAGTGATGGAATGTGTCTTTCTTTTCCTTTTTTAAAATAAAATATTAATTCTGAATTAGGCTTTCCAAAGTAAGAAAGTTCAATGGATTCACAGGCCACCTGAAGTCCATCCATGGACCCCACATGTAAGCCAAAAGGAAACAAAGTAATGAGAAGTTTTAGAATGTTCAACTCTTGAAATCTAAAGTGTAATAACAAAATGACCACATGGTGTCAGTCTAACATCGATAAGACCTATTTTCCCCTAGGTGGGAGGATCATACGCTAATAAACCTGAGAATCTGAGTTAATAAAGTTTAGTAAAGCAATATCCTCTGAAAATTATTTGGCAAGATTGAGGCACTTGACTTTGGTGGAAATTCATGGTAAAGAGATCATGAGGGAAAATTGTCCTCAATAAAGGTAATTAGTCAACACCTTTTACTATTTGGAATTTGAGAGTGAGACCAACTGCATGGAGAAACTGATTTCTACTAAGTGATTTCTGGAAAATCTTAAATGCTCTCTGCCTTAAAATTATCCTATTTCTCTTTGTTATTATCATGAGCTGAATTCTCTTCCTGCATATTTATAGTTTTCTTTAAATTTTTTTTGAAAGTCAGCTATAAAGTCTAGTTTTATACTGGCTCCAGTCAAAACTGAGATAGTAATCTTTCTCTTTTGTTTTTACTATGGAAAATATACTTGAATTTTAGTGCCAAGGAAAAGACATGTTAAAAAAGAAAACTTCTCCTGAAATGCACTAGCAACTAGAGGCCTCATTGCATCAGTTTTTTGTTTTTTTTTTTTTTACCAAATGAGAGTTTTTAAATTTTTAATCTGTATCCATTTCTGATGCCTCTCCCCTCTTATTCCTCAGATATTTTCTTACACATGGTACCGGTCAGTGGCTTCGGATTAGACTCTGGTCCATTGTCTCCAAAAGGTTTTATTAAAATCTACAGTGTAAAGTATATGTATACTGAGAGATATTTAAGGTTGAGCTTGCCACTTCTTTAATCTCAAATATTGTAATGTATGAAAGGAGTAGAATCTGTGGTCTTCCTGATGGGAACGTTTTTTTCATTGCTGTAGCTCTCACAGATAAGACTTATGAAGAGTTTGGTACATTGCGTTAAATGTTACCTGGATGCAGTTCTCAACCACGGGATGAGACTTCTGGTGGGACTCGCCCTGAAGACTAGATAAGAAACACACTTGGCAGATGTCAAAGTTGAGACACTTCAGACAGCGGTATCTGCCAATTAAAGTGGAAGTGTGACTTACATCACTATTCATAGGTGAGCAAAGAAAATATTAGTCAGAAGAAGGAGCATCTTAAGATAAATAAGAGATATCTGAGGATCTGAGCTATTGAGTGAGTGTACAGTTAGATCTTCTTTTTATCATGTATTTTATTTAGTCACTTTTATAATATGACATTAAATGAATATAATTTTGTCAACAAACTATAGTAAAGAGGCCTGATTTATCCTCTCCCCCACCAAAAATACCAAGTGTCTTTTATACGCATGGGACTGTGTGCAACAACCCTTAGGATACACTCTGAAGTTTGCGGCCACATTTTGGGTAGCTGCACAAAATGTTTGAGCAGTTTCAATGCAACTGCCAATTTAAAGAAACCTGGGAGGTTTCCAAAATTTAGAATTCTAAATTCTCTTGAGAATTTGTGAGATGTGATGATATTGGACCTGCATTCCTGTGTGGTATTGGGGAAAATAAAATCATAGATAAAAGAATCTAAAATAAATGTGTCATTTTTTTTAAGAAATTTGTACGTAGGAAGGAATACAGTGAAGAGCGGGAGTTCCCCATCAGCCAAGGTCCAAGTCCAAGTGAAGCCGCTCAGTTGTGTCCGACTCCTTGTGAACCTATGGACTGTAGTCTACCAGGCTCCTCCGTCCATGGGATTTTCCAGGCAAAGGTACTGGAGGGGGTTGCCATTTCCTTCTCCAACAGCCAAGATTGAGTGACAAACACAGCCAAGTTTGTTAACACATCAGCACTGCAGACTCTCTATTATGAATAGTTACAACCTTAAATCACCTATCAGAGGAGAGGAGATCTTGAGACATTCTGCTAAGGAAGGGTGTCTTTAGGCACTCAGGGAAAATGTTGTGTTTTTCAGGAGCATTGCTGGTGAGACCACACAGTCAAGAATTAGTAAATTTCAAGGATGAATAGAATCATACCATTTGTAAAATTTCAGGGATCTATACTTTTTCCAAAAAAGCTTTTTATTTTGTATTTGGGTATAGATGATTAACAATGTTGTGACTGTTTCAGGTGGACAAGGAGTCAGACATACACATACATGTATTCATTCTCTCCCAAACTCCTCTCCCAACAAGCTGCCACATAACATTGAGCAGAGTTCCCTGTGCTATACAGTAGGACCTTGTTGGTTATCCATTTTATATATAGCAGTGTGTACATGTATCTCCCAAAAGTGAAAGTCGCTCAGTCGTGTCTGACTCTTTGCGACTCCATGGACTGTAGCCTGCCAGGCTCCTCTGTTCATGGAATTCTCATTTGTATCATTTCTTTTTAGATTCTGCATGTAAGGGATGTCATACAATATTTCTCCTCTATCTAACTTACTTCACTCAGTATGACAGTCTCTAGGTACATCCAAGTTGTTGCAAATGGCATTATTTCATTCTTTTTAATGGCTGAGTAATATTCCATTATATATGGAATATATATATACACAATATTCCATTATATAAACAATATTCAATTATATTATATATACACACACACAAAATATCTTTATCCATTCCTCTGTGAATGGATGCTTAGGTTGCTTCCATGTCTTGGCTATTGTAAACAATGTTGCAAAGTACACTGGAGTGCGCGTATCNACTTCACTCAGTATGACAGTCTCTAGGTACATCCAAGTTGTTGCAAATGGCATTATTTCATTCTTTTTAATGGCTGAGTAATATTCCATTATATATGGAATATATATATACACAATATTCCATTATATAAACAATATTCAATTATATTATATATACACACACACAAAATATCTTTATCCATTCCTCTGTGAATGGATGCTTAGGTTGCTTCCATGTCTTGGCTATTGTAAACAGTGTTGCAAAGTACACTGGGGTGCGCGTATCCTTTTGGACCATGTTTTTCTCCAGATATATGCTCAGGACCAGGATTGCAGGGTCATATGGTAGCTCTATTTTTAGTTTTTTATGAAACCTCCATACTGTTCTCTATAATGGTTATATCAATTTACATTCCCACCTACAGTGTAGGAGGGTTCCCTTCTCTATCTATACCTTTTTCCCTGATATTTAACTGATATTCAACTACAGTTTCTGTGACATAAAGTCGTGTCTTCCCCGTCAGTGGCAACAATGGGCGAGGGCAAAGTGGGCTAGTCCTTTAGGACAGTTCCTCCCTGGCCTCTTCCCCTCATTTATATACTTGTCTTGCCCCAGAAAGCATTTAAGTTATCCATCCCTGTTTCCAAAGTTACAAAAGCAAAACTATGACAAGATTCCCGTACTCTTCAAGTTTTCTATCTTGCTGCAAAGAGATGATAGGGAAACTTGAGGTATACTAACTAGCAAAATTAAGTACCGTGTGATGAAGTGCAGAGTGAGAGGCATGGAAAATAAATGCAGTAGGAAGAGAGGCGAAGACACCTGGGGATGGGATGGTCTGATTAGCTTTCATGGAAGAAGTGAGGCTCATGCTGGGTGTAGAATGCTGGGTGGGAGATTAAGGTGAAAGAAATCCCAGGTAGAAAGAAAAGGAGGTGTGAGGTATTGCAGACAGGGGTGAAGAAGGGTTTAGAGCTTGTCAGATCTATCAGACCTACAGATAACTCTGGAGAACAGAGGAATAAAAAGTTGGAATGTTCCTAAGGCCAGATGGCAGAAGGGTTTTTGACCAAAGTCATTGGAAGGCAAAGCAGGAGAATTCAAGTGCCATGAGGCCAGCTCTCACGGTCCTTGTTCACTGCTGTCCCTGACACCTAGACTCACAGTGGGGTATTAATAGAGTGTTGAAGGGCTATCACAGTAGCACAGAAAACATTTTTGAGCCCTCACTGTGCAGTTGGCAGGGGACATGCATTGACGTAGTTAATCCCCATGAAAGTTCTTTAAGGGAAGGCATTTTTATTGTTACCATCATTTGAAGAAACCGATTTCTTTAAATCAGTTCTTAAAACTCAAAGACATCTTAAGCAAACACACAAAGTTACACAATGACTAGTAATGGTTTAATTAGGCTTTGAGCCCAGGGATACCATTGGAATGGAGAGCCAGCTATTTTAACCCATGTAATAGACCACCAAGGGGAGACTTCCCTAGTGGTCCTGTGGCTAAGACCCCACACTCCCAATGGAAGAGGCCTGGGTTCCATCCCTGGTTGGGGAACTAGATCCCATGTGTCGCAACTATGAGATCACATGCTGCAACTAAAAGATCCTGCATGCTGAAACTAAGACCTGCTTAAACCAAGTAAGTAAACAATAAATAAACACACGTATATATAAGGGCTTCCCTTATAGCTCAGTTGGTAAAGAATCTGCCTGCAGGTGCAGGAGACCTGGGATCGAATTCTGGGTTGGGAAGATCCCCTGAATAAGGAAACGGCAACCCACTCCAGTATTCTTGCCTGGAGAATCCCATGGACAGAGGAGCCTGGTGGGCTACAGTCCATGGGGTCACACAGAGTCCGATACAACTTAGCAAACTGAACCACCAAACCACCACCAAATGTATATATAAAATAGAATACCAAGGCAGGAGACTTGATTAGAGTCACATGCCACTATTATAAGATGACCTTGAAACAGAAACTTAAGTTCATGGTTTTGAAGATACCTGGTAGGTTTTCAATGAACATTTATTGATTAAGTTAAATGAATGACTTCGTTTCTTCAAGGAGGAAAATGGGGCTAGTAAATCCTGACCTCTAGGCCTTGTAAGAATGTGAAGTCGCGCAGTCATGTCCAACTCTTTGTGACCCCATGGACTGTAGCCTACCAGGCTCCTCAGTCCATGGAATTTTCCAGGCTAGAATACTGGAGTGGGTTGCCATTTCTTTCTTCAGGGGATCTTCCTGACCCAGGGATTGAACCCGGGTCTCCTGCATTGCAGGGAGACACTTTACCATCTGAGCCACCAGGGAAGCCGAGGCCTTTGTAAAGTTTTACAAAGCTTTGAAGATTATTCAACATGCGTACTCAGGGAGACGTGACGTGTATAACATGAAGTATTTTTTACTAAGATGATTTGATAAGCCATCTGTACTGGCTGCTTTACTTGGCTTTACTGTATGGTTGCAGTTGATTCCTTAGGAGAATATGGTGACCCTAACCTTGGCTTATTTCCTCCATGCTCTGAAACTACCGACACAGGCATGAGAAAGGGTGCAGTGTGGATAATGAGCTGGTCTGTTGTTGATGCTCTTACTCACAAAGGACCACGTTATTTCCCCCTAATCTCATTTCATACTTACATGGCTATTCAGGAGTATAAGTGTGACATATCCTGCTAAAATTGGACCCTCAGCTTAGGAACAATCTCTGGTCTTTCTCTCTGACTTTAGGAGGCCAAGTCTTGCCCTCTTCTTGCTAACTCCAGATCTGCGAACACTTCTGCTCTAAGATGACTTTATGACTCTCACTGAAACTAAAAGCATCAAGCTATAGCTGGGGTTTTCTGAGAGTCAAAACCACAGGTTTAAGGTTAGACCTGTAATGTATTCAAGCACTTTCTAACAAGCTCAGATTGTTACAGCTAAGAGAAGCCTAAGTCATTCTTTGATTCACCCATCCTTCTCTTGCTTGCAAAGAAACTGTGGTCTAGAGAAGCTCAAGGTCATGCCCAGATGACTCAGCTGTCTGCATATAGGAGAACTGTACATTGCCTTAGATTTCTAGGAGGAAAGATGGGTCACAGAGGCCTTTCTAAGAAGAAGCTTAATCTTACTCTTAGTAGGTAGGGACACAACCTAAAACTTACAATACGGCATATTTGGCCCCTTGCTTTTGCTATTTTTTTTTTTTTGAATGACCTAAGCAAGTCATTCACATTCTAAGACTCCTTGATCAAATAAAAATAATAATACATGCTTTATGTTATACATAATGATTTTGAAAAAAATACATCAATGTAAAAGTTGTATTTTATGTAACTGCAAAAACGAATTCTGTCTCTGGCCCAGTACAGGACACAGCATAACTGCTTATGTAATGTTTGTTTATTGAGTAAATGATTATGATATACTTATAGTAAGGAAAATAATATTAATGTTTTCCCACAGCCCAATTAAAAAAAGAATTTACTTTTCATTGTAGTGTGGATATTTCTTTGGTTTAGCTTGCTTGGTTACCAACAGTTGGGGCCATTGGTATTTTTTTTTGTTACAACTTGGGTTATTTGTGAAGACTTTCTGTGAGTGAAATTTCATTGTGTCCTCAGAATTCTCTGCCAAATCAATTCACTTCCTCAGCAAAATTAAAACGTGATTTCCAGTTCTTAGTGAGCTCAACACACCTATTTTATATCAGACTTCTTTTATGTCGCTTTTCCTGCCCCTTCTGCGCATACCACCTCTTAAAACCAGTTTTGAGTTCCCAGGTTGTCCTAGCTCATCAGTTCCACCACATCACTAGCCCCTGTTACACCTGTGTTCATCCACCATGGTGATGGTCACCCACTTGCCTGGCCCCCACTTGCTGGCTTCCTTCTCTCCTCCCCATCTTTAATAATAACTCAAATTTTACTTCTTTATTGTTTTATTTGGAGGAAACCTACAACACCCTTTTCCTAAGATGGGATTTTGACTGTCATCTCAAAGCCATGGAAAGATCTGAATTTCCTATGTCCAAACCTAGCTTTCAAATCTGCCTTTTCCTCCAGGAAAAGAGGAGCTCTGGCATGAGCAGCTCCCACAAAGCCTCATCATCTCTTCATTTTCAAGGACTGTTCTCAGTTGTCCGCACAAGGAGGCAGCAGAGCATCACGCTGGCAGAGCAGGGACTCTGGATTCGGGCCTCAGCCACTTGCTAACCACGTGAGCTTAAGCTTAGGTTACTTAGCTTCCCTGCTAAATAATAATAATACCACCATTAGGCACAATAACACCATTTTTTATACGAAGTTATAACGTTTTCCACAAATGATCCATGTGAACCACACAACCTAATATTTGTTCAACATTTAGCAAACGTAAACAAGGTCCTATAGCACAGGGAATCATAGTCAATATCTCATGATAAACCATAATGGAAAAGAATATGTAAAAGAATGCATGTATGTATAACTGAACTACTTTACTGTACAGCAGAAGTTAACACAACTCTGTAAATCAATTAAACTTCAAAAATATTTTTAAAGAACAAAAAATGTAAACTATTGTTATTGTTATGGTTAACTACAAACTATTTAAAAGAGTTTTGGTAACAAAAGACAACATTCCTTTAAGGAATAAAAATATCTAGTGGTCTGAATACGTGTCACTAGAACTTAATATTCCATCAATTATAGAAAGCAAAATAAAATACAAGCAGGATCACTCATACAGGAAATTATTATCCACCCCCACCAAATTAGCTGAGTTCTAAAAGTGTGAGTTAGACAACCAAAAGCATCTGGAGAGAAGAAGCTCCAACTCTCGATCCATCTGGAGAGTGATGGTCAGTGTAACAGTGATGAGTGACTGTACCTCAGTCCTGTGATGGGAAAGTTCCTGCAGATTCTACAGCGAACAGGGTGAGTGGCCATTTCAGTGGCTGACAGTCGGTAGCAGGTTGGGATCCATAAGAGGATGGGAGGCTCAGACTGCAACCAAGACAGGAATTTCTCTTCTTTGATTACTGGGCTCAACACCTGAAAAACAGTGGCACAGTCAAATATATCTCCAAGCAGGACTGCAGTCTCTTGTAGATGTGTTTTCATCTTCTCTTCTGGTTCTGTTTCTGTTGACTCTGCTGAAGAAATTTATCTCATGCAAAGGTGAATTAGGTGAATTTACCTCCTGAATTAGGCTGTCTGGGATGCATGTGGAGTAGTAGGCCTGTGATTGAAATGGGTCAGCAGCTGCGTCTGCCCCCAGTTCCCAAGGACATGTGCGTGGCACTCACCCCTTGGAAACAGCTGCGCGTAGCACTCTCCACAGAGCGCAGGGCACGACTTTCCCCAACGACAGCTGGAATCTACAAGAGGCAAGGAACCCTGTGTCAGTGACTAAGAAATGAAGTGGGTGGCCGCTAGTCACACCTGAGCAGTGGCACTTATGGCCAAAGAGTCATACGCACCTGGTGTCTGAGGCTGGATGAACTGTTTCAATTAGGCAAACAAGACATGTGGATTTTGTGCAGTGTATGAATAGAGACAAAGAATGAACAAGTGGGGAGAAATGGGGCTGGGACGAGGAGAGTAAGAAGTTCTGGCAATGAGGGCAATACAGGGAGGGCTTCCATGTTTCTCTTGTGACTCCAGTTAAATTATTTAACCTTTCTTTGCCCTTGGACTGCAAGGAGATCCAACCAGTCCATCGTAAAGGAAATCAGTCCTGAATATACATTGGAAGGACTGATGCTGAAGCTGAAACTCCAAAAGGAAATCAGTCCTGAATATTCATTGGAAGGACTGATGCTGAAGCTGAAACTCCAACCCTTTGGCTACCTGATGCGAAGGACTGATTCATTGGAAAAAACCCTGATGCTGGGAAAGATTGAAGGCAGGAGGAGAAGGGGACGACAGAGGATGAGATGGTTGCATGGCATCACCGACTCAATGGACATGAGTTTGAGTAAACTCCGGAAGTTGGTGATGGACAGGGAGGCCTGGAGTGCTGCGGTCCATGGGGTCGCAAAGAATCGGACATGACTGAGTGACTGAACTGAACTTGCCCTCGTTCACCTATGAATTACATGTAACAACAATACCATATTAAAGTTCAGGGCAGTTTTAAGGAAAACCTTTCAAACACACATCATCTCATTTTAATAAATGCCAGTTTTTGAGGCAGGGCAGTTATTATCCTTGTTTACAACAAGAAATAATTGAGATCTGATATTTTGCTCAAGGTAAAACAAACAAACAAAATAGATGCGAATTACTATACAAAGAGATCTCCCTCTAAGACTCTACTCTGCTGAGGGGTTCTTCCAAAGCTTTGTCACATCTGGAACTCATATGTATTCCAATGGCTTGATTTAACACTACCTCACTCAGTGGTTTCCATCTTTCACTCAGCCACATTAAGGAGTTTAACTAAGGGACTAAGAACATCCTGTGACTGCTGAGATGGCCAGGGACTTGGCCCTGACATTAACTATATGCACAGATACATGTACCTGTCACCTCCATTTATGCCCATTTGGTCACGTGTCCTAATTTCATGTCTGATGCCTTCTACAGCACAGATTGTCAGCAGGCATTGCTCCCAAGCTCAGAAGTAATTTCAAAGACCCCCCTGCTGAGTCCATCAACTCGAATAAACATTCTTCTAATCAGGAAAGTGGCACTTAGAACCACTTTGCTGACAATTAGCCAGGCAGAAGTCAACAAACATTTGTGTAATCGTGACAAGATGGCTTGTACTTTAAATTAATAATAACCCCATCACCAGCTGAACTAAACATGATGTGTTATTTGGCTTTTGTCTGAAAAAATAACTCATTACCCCTACTTTGGCCTGTGAATACTGATGAACTAACTGAACCACTTATTTGGATGGTATCTTGAGCTCTGGGAAAGAGGTTTAGCCTCATTTGTACAGTAAGGAAAGTGAATCAGATAGGATCCACTAGCCAGTTCTGGGATTCTGATATCAATCAAAAGAAAATTCACTTCTGTTGTGGTTTTTAACCTACATTTTTGGCTCTTAAGTGTATGCACAAAGATTTTGTGCCCATTTGACTAATTTCTTGTAGATAATCTAAGGAAGAATTAAATGTGGCTAGAGGGCCTGCAGCATAGGCAGAACAGCACTTGAAATGATAATTAGGATTCTCGGGGGAGGGGGTGGGATCACACCGAGGGGCCCAGAGTCTTCTATGGGAACCCGTCTCGGTGTTCTTAATGGAAGTCAATGGGATGATAATTTACTATGCAAATCTCCACCTTCCTAACAGCTTTCTCAGAAGCCTACTGATGCATGAGGGGGAGAGAGCACAACAGGAGCTGCCATTTCAGCAGCTCATTGACCTTGGTTGAGCCTAAAACAAGGGCAGATTTTTAGGACCTCTTGGGTGGGGAGCCAGCCTGGGGCCAGCTGTACTAGTGAGGAAGCGGCATAGGATTTCAGAAGGAAGATGCCCCTCCGTCCACCTTCTTTCATCACATCCACTTCACCACTTCAGTCTAACTAGACTGATTGCATAAAAGGATGGGCAGATTTTCCCAGTCTCCCCCCCAAATGTGGGGATTGTTGGGGCAGTAGCTTCTTAAGATATGCCTGAGAGTCAGTAGAAAACTGGCGACAGGATCCATGTGCTGGGGCAAGCACCAGAAGAGCTCTTTGAAAACTACATCTGAGGTTTGAACCTTAGAAATGAAAAAAAGATCATTGCTCCACTTAAGAAATATGAGCATCTTAAACGCTGTTTAAAATTTGCAGAATAAATTAAATATGAATTATTGCAATTGGTATGAATATAAACTCTTAATATTAAGACCAAATCAAAGCAAGGGTAGCTTTTTAAATTTTTATTATTTTGGGGAAAAGTAATTATATTTTATTTATTTAATTTTATTTTTTATGACAAAAATAAATAATTTTATTTTTTTATGACAAAAACCACTGCAATGATGTAAAGTAATTAGCCTCCAACTAATAAAAATAAATGGAAAAAAAATTTAAAAAAAAAGTAAAAAAAAAAAATTTATTTTTTGGCAGCACTGCATGGCCTGCAATGCATGCCAGGCATGCAGGATATACCCGACCAGACATCAAACCCATCCCCCTTGTAGTGGAAGTGTGGAGTCTTAACCACTGGACCACCAGGGAAGTAAGATAATTTGGGTAGGTTTTCCTAAATCATATTCCTTGTCTGATAATCTTTCTCCTTATCCACCTCCCACTCTTACCGTAATAATTCCCTGTTCAGAATCCTTGGTTCTCCAGTGTACCAGAATATGCCACCCCCAAATAAACCTCCTTGGCATATGTATTATTTTGAACTAAAAGTCATTGAGAGCCAATAGAAGCAGAAAAAGCTCTAAAAATAGGACACAGGTTTTCCTTTTGTAAAGGTAACTTACATTTATATAGGAAATTTTTTTTTTTTACCAATAGTGTCTGCCTCTACCTACTAGGAAGAGGAGGACTCTTAACAACCCTTGTTAGTGGAGAAATCACAGACTTAAATGTGCATAACAAACAAACCCTACTAAACAACCCTTGTTCACCATCTATTTCCTGATCATCCTCTCATAAACTTGCCTCCCCCACCTAGAAGCCCAGAGTCCCCTTTCCTTTGTTTAGTGTAAAATAGCTTACAAGCCGGAGTTGTATCTACTCAGTGATGAGTTACTCATCACTGGGTGTTCCCATGCACCATACACATGAATAAACTTTGGTTTGTTTTTCTCTTGTTAATTCTTTTACAAGTCTGATTTACAGGGTCCCAGACACAGAACTTAAGATGGATAAGGGAAAAAGAATTTTTTTCTTCCCTACAGTTCAGAACCAGGGGGAAAAGGACAGAAAATTACTATAGTTTCACAGTGCAGAAAACCTAGTTTGAGGATTTTACAGGGGCTTGAAGAATAATAGAGACATCCTTAAAGCAGGGGTAAAAGATATAGAGACAGTAATCACTTGTACACAAAATAATCCAGAGCCTACATAACCCATTTGCAGAAGACCTTGCTTGGTTACGTCATTTTTTGACAATTAAGAAGCATATTTACATTAAGGAGGTTAGATTCCTTATTAATTGGATGAAAACAATGTTATATTTGCACATTCTTAAAGCATAGGAAATGATGGAAATCAACTATTGAGTACTCAGGGCTGCATTTCATCTGTGTTTTCATTAAGCACTTGTTAAAGGCCTTAGTAGGCTTCTCTGGCGGCTCATCGGTGAAGAATCTGCCTGCAATGCAGAAGCTTCAGGAGATGCAGTTTCAATCCCTGGGTCAGGAAGATCCCCTGGAGGAGGGCATGGCAACCCACTCCAAGAATCTTGTCTGGAAAATCCCATGGACAGAGGAGCCTGGTGGGCTACTGTCCACTGGATTGCAAAGAGTCAGACACGACTTAGCACAGATGCATGCACCCATGAAGACTTTAGTATCAAGCACTTTTCAAGCTATTGGAGACATAAAGATCACTGAGATATAATCACCGCCCTTGAGAAGCAGCCTAGTGGGAAAAGCGCATATCTAAGGCATGATTGCAACAAAATTTGACAAGTGCTATAACACAGTTATATACAAGGAGTTTAAGAAGTTTTCGGTGACGAGGTGACAAATATTTTGAGTAAACTTGAAAGACAAACAGTATCTGTCAAGGAAAGGAGAGGCAGTGTGTTGTAGATAGAGGTACCTGCCCAAGCCAGGAGTGGAGCATGTCAGGTACAGTAAAGACCTTGATAAGCAGGAGAGACAAAGCTGGAAGGAGCATAAGGAAAAATTAACACACAGAGGAAACCGCTGGATATCTTTTCATTGGGGATTATCTGAACCTATAGAGATGTGCATCACTCTCTTTGACTAGGCTACCTTATAATTTTATAGAGATTAATGTCAACTTGTTGACAACTGATCGCAATGCAAATAATTCCTATTTATGGACATGCAAATGAATTCTCTCCTGGTTGAGCGACAACTCCTACCTCTACCCAAGCCACTCTTGAGTCCACCTGCAAATTCATTACAACATTCTTAATCTATCAGTTTGTTCTTTAGTTATTTCTTTCAACTTGTTGTGACATCTTACTGGAGCCCTCTTATAGTTAATAAATAAAAAATTGAACACATTTTTATGTTTATTTACTTTTAAGTTACCCATATTTGAGTTACAAATATTTATTTGTTTGCATTCATTTTAAATTTGTATAAGTATCATTTTACCTCTTTTTGAAAATATAAGATTGGAGAAAGCTTTGCTTGTGAAACTAAGGAGTTTAGGTTTTATTCTATAGACAGAAATGGCCAGTGAGGAATTTTAGGCATTTCCATTGACATTTGAAAGAGTCACTAGCTGCTCTGTGGAGGAAGAGTTGGAGAAAGGAGAGGCTTGAGTTGGGCAAACCAATTAGGAAATAATTGCAATAGGTCAGACTATACTCAGATATTACCAGTGGCTAGAGAAGAGAGAGGTTGCTTGGAGAACTATATCAAGATAGAATCGACACTGTAAAGAATAAGATCCTTTAATAATTAATATGACAAATATAACTGGAACACATTTAGAACTCTTGAGCATTAGAGGTTTACCTGTTGTAGATCTGTTAGTAGGTTTCTCAAAACCCTTCGAGTCATGCGTGCCCCCAAATCATGGCCTCCCCTGTTATTTTCTGCATAGAGCTGAAAAAGAGCTAGACATATAAGGGAGAAGAGAAACCTTTAATTGAATACTTGCCATGTATCTTTGAAGAGTATGTGCTTTGAATCCTAAACACTTAATTTGTGGGTCTAAAGGGGAAAAGAGGGGTAAGTTATAATTCTTGATTATTCGCTTGCTATTTTGAAGGCTTCCCAAACTAAATAACTTGAAAAGTAGTGAAGATCCACACACATTTCTAATTTTTGATAATTGAGCACATCGATGGCAAAGACCACGAGTTTGGTGAATGGTGATGGGAATAGGGACTGCTTTAAGAGAATAAGAACTACTGATGTCTGAATAATCTCTATATAAATAAATATCAAGGATAACCAAATTCTGAATAGTTAGAACACACAGATCAACATTTTGGAAAATTCTGAGTTTTGCTGGGTACGTGCTAAACCAGAGCCGTGTGGCAGTGGGGATACAGGAGTGAGTGAAGACGGTCATGTGTTGGAGAGATCTGCTGGTCACCACACTTCAGATACTCTAAACTCCTACTTATGTTACCTCTGTATTTTGTAAGAGGACTGTCCCCTGAGAGGGTGATCAGAGCGGCGGCTGCGGGTGCAAGCTTGAGAAAACCCGTTCCTGTGCTGCATGGCAACAACAACAACAGAAAAACAACAGAGGCAAGAATAGGAAAGGCAGGGTTATTCTTCTAAAAACCATGACTATGAACGAACATTCCTGACATCGTGTTACAAGTTTGTGTTCTTCATGGTCTGTTTTCTTATGTCTAGAATTTGACAGGACTAAGAATTGAATAGAAATATTTCATCCTTCATTATTTATCCATTCACGTGTTCAACAAATGTTTATTGGGTGTTTTCTCGGTACAAAGCACTAGCCTAGGCGCTGGGGACCCAGGGGTGCACCCTCTCTTCCTGGACCAGGTGGTCTCAACTTCTTTAGGGTTCACAGGCCCAGAAAACAAACAAGAGAGACAAGGACCAAAGGGCAGGCAGAATAAGCAAACCTTTAAGTTAAAAAAATCTGCCTCTTCTCAGGTCACTGCCTAGAGCCTCATCAGCCTGTGCCCATCAGCTATGCAGTTGCGAAAGCTACAGAACAATGTAAGGCAGGTGGGTTGTTAGATGCAGGCATTGAGTATAGAAAGGACAGCCAAAAGCTTAATGCCTAAGGAGACTGAAATCAAGAAAAAAAAAATCACTTGAGGACATACTTATATATTATTTGCATGACAACAATAAACAATAAACTAGTAAGAAATTTGCCAAATGGTTAAACTGTCCTTGTCTCTAGGATGCAGGCTTTGGGGGTGATATTGCTTCTTCCTTACTCTTTTCTGCACCTTCCAAATGTTTTATATTCACTGCGAGTTTTTAAAAGTCCATTCTACAAGATGAAGCCAACTGGGTCAAGACCACATAGATAAACAGAGCTGAAGTGGAGCAAAAAAGTGATAAACTCGGGTTTAGTGAAACACGCATACACTCACACACACACATCACTTACTCCAGAGCATGCATAATCAAGTCTTTGACAAGGTGGAAATGTTTATGTACCTTCCCTCTCCAAGTCATATGTCAAAATCCTAGCTCCCAGTGAGAGACTATTTAGAGGTAGGATTTGGGGAGATGACTAGGTCACAAAGCTAGAACTCTCATGAACTAGATTTCTGTTACTATAAAAGAGACCCCAGAAAGCTCTTTCATTCTCTTCCACCACGTGAAGACACAGCCAGAAGATGGACCTCTGAGTGGCTGCAAGTGGTTTCTCACCAGACCCAAGTGTCTGCAGCTGCCTTTGATATTAGACTTCCTAGCCTCCAGAACTGTGAGAAACAGATGTCTGTTAAGTCACCTGGTCCATGATAGTTTTGTATAGCAACCCAAACAGACTAAGACAAGAGGTTAGCCATTTATGCACAAGTTATTCAACCTTATCCCACAAACAGAAACTGATAAATGTTTATAAAGAAATAAACAAAGAAGTAAATTACTGGGGACTCATGCTGGGAAAGATTGAAGGGAAGAGAAGGGAGAGAAAGAGGATAAGACGCTTGGATGGCATCACTGACTCAATGGACATCAGTTCAAGCAAGTTCCAGGAGATAATGAAGGACAGGGAAGCTTGGCATGCTGCAGTTCATGAGGTTGCAAAGTGTCAGACACGACTTAGCAACTGAGCAAGAAAAAGTGTAATTTTTAGAATCTATAGATGTAATTGCCCTAGAAAAAGGTGTGCATGCTTCTCTAGAGTGGAAATGCAGTTTGTATGAAAATGTGGATTTTCCTCCTTATTGCTTTGCATGAGTCATTTATGTTAGTGAGATTGTTACGCATGTACTTCTTTGTTCCCCTTCTGAATGAGTAATACATTTGAGGAAAACAAACAAAGAAGCTTTCTTAGACCTCAAACCCTGAGCAAATATTAGACATCCTCAGCTGGTCAGTGACCAGGGGCAACTGCACACCCCCTGTTAGGTCACAGCTTGATCTCTTCACCCTCACCTGTCATACATCGTAGTGAGAAGGCTCAGAGTGAGTTCCGAAGCCCTGGGGCACACCTGTCCTGGTTTTTCCACTCTGACTTTCTGGAACATCTCCTGCAGAGCCTGAAAAAGCTGCTGCAGAGAGAGGCTGCTTTCTCCTGCCTCCCAGAGACTCTGACGTAGTAGGACTTGCTGAATCAGAGAACTGCCAATCAAGTCCACTGCAGGAAGCAAAGGAAACACTGCATCATCTGTGATGGGAACAAAAGGCTTCAAAAAAAGTAAACATCATCTAGTCTATAAGACAATTAAGGGAGTTACATATGACCACAATTTGGACACAGTGTATTAATCGCTTAGTCCTGTCCGACTCTTTGTGACCCCATGGACAAAGCCTGCCACACTCCTCTCTCCATGGGATTCTCCAGGCAAGAATACTGGAATGCGTCTCCTTCTCCAGGGGATCTTCTCAACCCAGGAATCAAACCTGGGTTTTCTACATTGCAGGCAGATTCTTCACCATCTGAGCCACCATCTTGTACATAATTAAGGCATTCCTATGCTGACAGTTGATTTGATTTTGGAAAAGTGCGTTTGTTAGTGAAGGAAAGTTAGAACATTATTCCCAGTATAACCTCTAAGATGTGACTTTAAAGTAGGAAATTAAAAGGTAAAGAAGTGAAAAGCTTGAAAACAGCTTTCTGAGGAAATTAGAATACTGGTGATAAGTTGGGAAAAGCATTTTTTATACTCTTTATTAAGTGGATTGAGAAAATTCACCTTTCATGTTTACATAACTTTTTTTCTTGGTGCATAGCCTAGCTCGAGAAGGAATATTGTATGTTAAAACACACTTGCATTACTTAAAAAACCCAGTGATCTTTATAAGAGAACAGTTGCTGAATTATCACTCTTTAGATCTCACTCTTGCCTTAGTAATATTTATTTTTTTTGATCTTGGTCCCGTCAGTATCACTATCCTGGAAGGCACTTAATAAAACCAAGGTTGCTTACAAAAAATAATGGTTTATTTCTTACATATTTTTTTTTTATCACATTCTCCTAAAAATGTTACAAGGCAATGAAGATAAGGGAGAATGAAATAGAACCAACCCTATGGTTTCTTGCAGATGGAGAATGACAGACAAAATGAATAAACACCCACTCGTGCCATCTGAGAGATGGGGATGTCAGTGGCACCAAGAGCTGCTGGCATTTAAAATGCTTCAGTTTGTGCAGTGATAAAACCCCGCGTTTCTGTCTACTTCGTAAATCAATCTCACAGATGAGAAATCTAGCAAGTATAACAAAATTTTTTATTTGTTCTCTGATACCGCTTTTAAGGGGAGAGTCTATGGAAGTGAGGGGTAGGTTTGGGGATGTGACTTTAATAAAAACCTGGCTGCAGGTGGTGGAGGCTGCAAACTCTTATCATTGTTCAATCGCAAAACCTATCACCTCAGCCTGGCTTGCAGTACACAGGAGGCTGTGTCTTCTGCAGAGAATTCTATACTACAGCAAAACAGATAATAGTGGTGTCCATTCATCTCACCACCAGATTTGGTCAGCAACGCTCTCTAGCTCCCCAGATCCTGCCTCCTGGAGCTCACGATATACTTTATCTTGGTGTCTGGGACTTTTCTTTTTGTTTTCTAATTTTCTGTGGCTATCTTCTATAGGTAGAAGCTTCCAACTTCTTCCTGTGTGCACTGTTGCTATTTCCCATGAGTATTATTTATATTCACTGTTTCTGATGCCAGGTGTAATAAAAAGTTGAAAAAGGTACATCCTCAAATTACACTGCATCAATTACAGGCATTAATGATGGAGGCTCGTATAACATTGGCTGCTAAATTTCTTTACTAGGAGACATTCTCCAGGAAAACAGCATAATTGAGGGTGAATTTCTTTTTGAGCGTATTCTGTCTTTTTGTGAATTTCTGGAATTAGTGATTTATCTATATCCATGAATAAAAAAATTTTAGGCCAAGAATTCCTTCTTCAAAGGGATTCTTTCACAGAAGTGCAGTATGAAAGACAGAGAAAAACAGAATTGTTCTGGTGCAGGAACAACTTTTGGGTTGTCTTTTGGGTTTTCTTGGCTTGCCTGTACTTCCTTTTCCTGCTTTGCTGACCCTTTCTTATCCTAATTCACACCCATGTCCACTCTGAAACAATTTAGAAACCACTAGTCTATCTAACCTATTATGCAGAAAGTAATATATTAAAAATTTCAACCTTTATATATACATGTATATACATATGTAAAAAAATTTCATTTAGATCTGCTGTAATAAATGTCATAAATCATTTCACATGAAGTGATTTTTAAATGCAATATAAAACTTATTTGAAAGCAACACTTTAGATATGCTGAATGCCTGTTTTTCATAGTCAGGACCCAAGTCATTTTGTTTTGGAGAATTCTTACAGGATAAACATTTTACTATATTTTACCATGTTTTACCAAGTTATAACCATATAGGAGAAGAAATGGTGGCATTCAATCAGATAAAATTTGATGCAAAAGAGCAGTTCAGAAAATTCTCAAGAAAATTTTAAACTTAATGGCCTGAGGACTATTCCTCCAAATTTACTTTTGCAGGTTCAGAAAGAGATAGGAGGAACAGCTTAAAAATGCAAATTTTAAGTGGTAGGAGGAATTTAGAAATGTTTATAATTGAATCTACAAGTTAAACTAACTTATTTTGTGATTTTATTTTGTATCAATAATGGTATCCTGAAAAATAAACAACAACAAAAAAATTCCAGAAACAAGTAGGAAAAATTTTTTTAAGAATTAAAATTCTCATCCACAAACAAATATCAAAGCTGCATGTAGTCTGAATACACAGGAGTATCTTACCCACTTCATCTTCTCTGTTACAAGTCGGGTACATGCACAGGTCCAACCTTCTGAATTCAGCAGTCACTCACATGGGCGAGTTTTCGGTTCTTTTTTGTGCATTTTACTTTATGTATCAGGGTCAGATTATTTCAATGTTTCAAGAAGGCCTGTACTTACATTGACACAGGGTTTGCAGTGATCGTAATTTGAAGGCCATTCTATAAGTGGAATTCTCAATACTATTAAGGGCATCTGTAAAGAAAACATGAAATATCATAGATAAAGGACTCTCCCATTAGATAAATCTTATAAGGAAATTCTAGCAAGCATGTTACGCTGCTTAGTCACTAAGTCATATCTGACTCTTTGTGGACTGTACCCCTGCTCCCCAGGCTCCTCTGTTCATGGGATTTCCCAGGCAAGAATACTGGAGTGGGTTGCCATTTCCTTCTCCAGGGGATCTTCCCTGCCCAGGAATTGAACTCATATCTCCTGCATTGGAAGGTAGATTCTTTACCACTGAGCCACCTGGAAAGGCAAGAGAGCATGTAGCCCTACTTTATTTTGCAGGTTAGGAAAACAAGGTCTATCACTGTTTCCTAGTACTAGTACTAAGTCGCTTCAGTCATGTATGACTCTTTGCAGCCCTGCGGACTGTAGCCCACCAGGCTCCTCTGTCCATGGGATTCTCCAGGTAAGAATACTGGAGTGGGTTGCCATGCCCTCCTCCAGGGGATCTTCCCCACCCAGAGACTGAACTCATGTCTCCTGCATTGCAGGCAGATTCTTTAGCACTGAGCTGTCAGGGAAGCCTGTTGCTCTTTCCTACCTGGGAGCAAATAATAATGTACTACAGTATCCTTGAATTTTCTGGTGGTCCAGTGGTTATGACTCTGTGCTTTCACTACTGAGGGCCCAGGTTTGATTCCAGGTCAGGGAACTAAGATCCCATAAGTTATGAAAGAAAAGAAAGAAAGTGAAGTTGCTTAGTTGTGTTTGACTCTTTGCAACCCCGTGGACAGTAGTGCACCAGGTTCCTCCATCCATGGAATTTTCTAGGCAAGAGTACTGGAGTGGGTTGCCATTTCCTTCTCCAAAAAGTTATGAGGTGTGACACCCCCCCCCCAAAAAAAAAGGTTTCTGGGTGGTGCTAGTGGTAAAGAACCCTCCCGCCAACGCAGGAGAAATAAAAGACATGGATTCAATCCCTTGGTCAGAAGACCCCCTGGAGAAAGAGTAATCATGGGCTTTCATGGGTCACCACCACCATTTCTACCAGCATCATCTAAAATGATAGCAAACACCTGTAACATGGCAACCCACTCCAGTATGCTTGCCTGGGAAATCCCAAGGACAGAGGAGCCTGGTGAGCTATATGGTCCATAGGTTCAATTTAGCGACTTAAACAGCAACACTACCCTAGGCTGCAGACGGCACTAGACAGCATCCTCGTAGTGCCCTATGTTAAGTAAGCAGTCCCCCAACGAGGAGGACTTCTCTGTGAAGCTATCCGCTTTTTATATAAAAACAAAATGACCTTGTGAAACAAAACAACAAGACAAAAAACTATCTGTAGAATATAAATTGTTAACATATTCAACTCATATGTACACACTTATTTATGCATCTATGAAAATTACTCAAAACCTATCCATCCATTCATTTAGCATATTTTTTTTGAGTTCTTGCTATATGACCCTGGCAGAAGTCCAGGCTCTTGAACATAGCAGTTAACAGGTGAAAATTCTTGCCACAAGGAGCTTAATTTCTAGTGGCATTCATCAAAATTGTTAAGAGTGTGTATCTATGAGTGCTAGAATTCTTGGTTATTTTCTTCCTACTTGTCAATATTACCTAAATTTTTGGTGAACAGCACATGTTACTTTTATAATCAGAAAAGAATTATTAATATACCTTCTTTTAACACCACCAATATCACTACAATAGTGGCTAGCATTTCTGAGCACTTACCAGGCACTGAGTGTGTATTCACCCCTTTCACAGTGTGGAGAAGAGAAAGTGCTGGAGCCATATCTAGGTCCATTCTTTCCTTTTTTCTTTGGGGAAACTAGTTTACTTTGATCTTCAGTGTATTCATCAGATTAGCAGGGATCACATTACTCTCCTCCTAGGGTATTCACATCATTTAAAAAAGAAAATACAGTTAATTATCTCTCTTACTTCTGCTGAGGACCTATAATTTAATTTGTTTCACTGATCTTTCAAGTTTGATTTTTGTTTAAGAGACATATAACAACCTCAAAATAGAACTTTTGATTGGTTGAGACTGAAATGACTAGTCTTCATTTCTAGAAAAAGGAAAATCTAAAAGAACGCCACTGACCACTGAATTCACATTATCTAGACTTAAAATTCTCAAATTTAGAATAAATAAATAAATAACCTACATAAACATGAAAAAAAGTTCTAGTTTAACCATTTAAACTGATTTTGTGACACACAAATGGGTTGCAAGTCACACTTGGATGTTACAGGTGTTTGCTATCATTTTAGATGATGCTGGTAGAAATGGTGGTGGTGACCCATGAAAGCCCATGATTATTCTTTCTCTGACTCAGCACCCCCACACTGCCACAGCTGACCTCTCTCCCAGCCTGTGGCCTTCTCTATTTTGCCTTATGTTTATTTCTCTCTAGTGGCCAATCTTTGATGGGATCTTCTTGCTTGAATCATCTGTGTCTTCAAAGGAATACATGATATATATTTGTTTAATGAACGTCTGAAGGAATAGCTGTAGAAAAAAACACAATAAATTTAGAAAGAATCCCTCAAGTTTCTACTATGTGTGAAAGCTTACTTATAGAGACATCTGCAGTTAAGTCAACATAAAATAGCTATTCATATTTGTTTATTTATTCATTAATTTGTCCCCCTCTCGTGTACACAAAACACCCAAGATCTGAGTGACTATGAGGTCCTAGGTATTATGCTGGGTACTGAGGGCATTACAGAAAAACAGGAGTTCTCAATGTCAAGGGAGAAACAAAATATGTAGGTTTATAATAGGGTTATAACAGGAGATGAAAAAAGTGAACATCGACATTTTAGGAATCAGTGAACTAAAATGGACTGAAATGAGTGAATTTAACTCAGATGACCATTATATCTACTACCGTGGGCAAGAATCCCTTAGTAGAAATGGAGTAGCCATCATAGTCAACAAAACAGTCCAAAATGCAGTTCTTGGATGCAGTCTCAAAAATGACAGAATGATCTCTGTTCATTTCCAAGGCAAACCATTTCAATATCATGGTAATCTAATTCTATGCCCCAACCAGTAATGCTGAAGAAACTGAAGGTGAAGGATTCTATGCAGACCTACAAGACCTTCTAGAACTAACACCCAAAAAAGATGTCTTTTTCATTATAGTGAACTGGAATGCAAAAGTAAGAAGTCAAGAAATACCTAGAGTAATGGGCAAATGTGGCCTTGGATACAGAATGAAGCAGGGTAAAGACTAATAGACTTTTGGCAAGAGAACACACTGGTCATAGCAAACACCCTCTTCCAACAACACAAGAGAAGACTCTACACATGGACATCACCAGATGGTGA